CTGGAATCGTTGTCGGCAGCCTGGGTGGAAGGTGGGGTAGTGTTGGTGGTATTCGGCTTTGTTGCAGTGATCGCCATTATCAGTTCTTGTATAGTTGGTATGTCGTCTCGTAGTGTTGTACAGCGAGGTAGGAGTGTTTTCCAACTTTGGACCAAGTGGGAAATACGCGTTCGTTGAATTTGACATATCTAGAATGGCATACACGGCCCGGCTTGACGCTGAAAATTCTACACTCACCATAGTATTATTTAGAGTCGGTGTCGTGCCTAAAATACCCCCCAAGTGTGGCTCTGTCGTCTAGTTTGTTCTCGGGGTCCTGGTTGATGAAGGCCACTTGGCAGCCATATACGTGCATGTGTTTAAGTCGTTTGTCAGGGATTTCGCCGTAAAAGATATCCCAAGCGGATTTACTATCAGGATTCCGATCGTTGCGACTGATATTTTGTGTTAGTGTTGCCTAGCGTAAGGCCTCTCGCCAGGTCTCTTCAGGCTGACCCGAACGGTCTAGAAAGTCACGCATCAAATCCACGATTACCTCATTCATACGCTCCACCAAACCATGAAGTGCTGGCGAGTTAGTAGATGTGTATGGGACTTTGACGTGTTCCACAGTATTGATTGCCTTAGATTATTTAGAGTTGAACTCCCCTCCTCTATCGCACTTCAACTCCTCAAGCTTGGCGAGTTTCTCTTTCCCGAGTCAAGTATAAAACATGTCGAGTGTCTCAGCGGCCCCATCCTCGGACTCGAGTGGGGTAAGAAAAGAGCACTGCACTGTTGGCGTCAACAAATTTGATGTTAGAAGTGCAACCTGTTGCTGAGGGTGTCAAGCCAATTTCGAGGCCAAAATGAAATACAGTACCCGGTGGTGGCCGAATCTCAGGATCCTTGAGTTTGTTTGAAATGAGCCGACGACGCGTCTTGCAGGATACACAGGTAGAGCAAAAGCACTCATCAGTAAGGTGGGCGAGGACACCGTCTTGGGCTGTGAGCAGATTAGCTGTCAGAGGTACGGCGTGTTTGGTATTACCTAATCGGGCAACACATATGTATCTCCACGTTGGTAGACCGACCACTTCGGAGCCGTTACGAAGAAATGTAGCAGGTGTCATGCGTACACCTTCCACCTGTGAGTGTAACTGTTTCAGTGTTCGTTGGTAGCACTTGTTTCTGGGAGCTAAAGGAAATACGACAGTAACTATGCCGCTTTCTGCTTCCAGGTTGTTGAGTGTGGCAGACCAATGCTTTTTGGTGAACGGTATGTTCCCATATAGATGGACTCTCACTTGGTTCCAGGACTGTTTATAGACATCGTAAAGTGGTGCACCCTCCACTAAACTGCAATAGTTTGCAACTTGTGCATTGTTTATACAGGCAAGTAAATCAATATATACTGCGCCGAATGGCTCGACGACGTGTTTCTGAACGAGATCAGGGTGGAACTTCCCGTTGTCTGTGTTCTCGCTTTTAGCTACATATATGTCGATGTTTTTTTTTGCGCAAGGGTTGGCCTCGTTTTGCGTGGATTCGGCTAGGGTGCGGGTCGTACAAGTGGAAATCTTGTATTGTCCGCTCACGTCTGGGATGGTATGCTTCTGGCCTGTTCGATCTGTGATGCGGCACTCTGTAGGTAGCGTATCGTTTGCCTGCGCTGGGAAGTTGACGTCGAAACCGCTGCGTTGCATTAATCGGACAGATAGTATGTTTTGCGTTGCTTGTGGCATGATAAGTAGTTGGCCTAATCCCGGAAGCGTGCCCCGCTCTTTCAGCGTTTTGAGACTTGTCCGGAAATTCGACTATGAAGTTGCCGCGTTGGATATTTGTATCACTATTGGTAGTGTAAAATATATGAATCATAGCGCCTGAACCAATGTAGCATATAGGGACCAGATTATCAAAAAGCCAATACAAATCCTAAAACCCAGAATAATCAAATACTGAGTTTTGGAATTAGGATTGGAATATTTCTGATATTAGAGTCATCAGAAATAATAGCGGTAGAACCGGTCAGATACACCGGGACTCCCGCGTGTGAGATAAATACTCGAGTAAATCCCGAGTCTAGTGAAAACACAAATTAAGACTCAGTTCGGCTCTCTCAGACTAGGGACTTTTCCTAGCTGAGATAACTGTACTTGAGAAGAGGTTTACTGTATCCTATTGTCTCGTTCTTTTCAGCTACTCTTCATACTCTACATTTTTTACAATATCCTTACTAGATAAGTCTAACAACTTACACTCTACGATTAAGAGGAAAGCAAGTGGGAATTAACCCATCAGGTGCTTTGGCAAGGCCAACTCAAAAACCAAAACTTCATTAGAACTATCCAACGAGTAGTAACAATAACAGAGAGAAGAGGCCTGGACCAGCAGAGAAGTGTCAACAAGGAAGCAGAGAAGACTCGGATCGAAAAGGAGAACAGGACTGAAGACTTCCAACAAACAGAAATTAATAACAGGGTGTACACGAAGAAACAAGAAGTGAAACGTGCAACTTGCGATACGAAGAAGAAAGACAAGCAAGGCAAATAAGCGCGTATACAACTGTAACGTATATGAATATGGTGTTCAGGATACACAGGTGATAATAACGTGTTCACAAACATATACTGTGGAAGAGGGTATCTCAGTGTAACGCGATTCAGTGAAGAGTTGCTAGATAGGAAGGCTAAAACAGTGAAAAAGGCATAAGCCGTCACAGTGATCATTTCATCAACTAGAAGATTTTTATAGGTTTTCGAACAAGAAAATAACCTTATGCAATGTGCACTAAAAAGACACTAGCTATTTTACTCAGTTTTCATATACAAAGCAATAGCAGCAGCCACAGAACAAACAACACCGCCAATTCAGAACAACTATGAATACATAAACAAACGTATACATACACACTATGAAAGCATAGACAAATGCATATACGCACAATCGGCACACACAAACCATAACAAAGCATTCACACCTTGTAAAACACACCGCATAGAGTAAAGATCGCAGATATCGAATATTGCACCAACATTAAATTTCAATCTCACAGAGACACGAGATAAATCAGATCGATGGACTGCCACACACAAACAACAGCCATCTACAGTGACTTACAATCACAAACATATAAGTAGCTACAACAACCAACTGAAACAAGTTGTCGTATATACAAATTCACAACGCATGAGCACACATAGGTCAGGAATCATAGCGATCTGATCAAGGAAGCACATACTGGGTACTAAAGCGCTAAATGTTAGACAAGTGATCCAAACCATAGACCTGCATAACGTGGGAAAGCACCCAAAATAACAAACGCTGAGTAAAGGCACCATACAAAGAATAGAGAGACATAACGCCACAAATCATCCAGAGGATTTTCAAATATCAGAGGATCTGACAATCGATTACATTGGAAAAGTAGCATTATACTGTTTTACATGTCACTTAACAATAACTAGTGCAACAAGCGTTTACACCACACAAATAATACATAGACGCACAGCCACAAGTCACAAAAAGGGTCCTCAAATCGATCATATTCAACAAAAAGAGGCACTGATCAAACCCGGGGACACAGGCTGAGCCACATGTATTTCTGTAGTATTGAATAACTAAGGTGATTATAAGATAATAATAAACATACAAATAGACGAGTAAACAAAGACACAAGCAGATGGACTCCTGAATCAGAACGATTCAAATTAGGAGTATCAATTACATTGATGGTCATCAGTTTATGAGTAGGACATTATTAGAAATCAAACAAGACAAATACTATATCACGATAGCACGACAAATACAAATGCGAAAACACTCGAGAACGAATATTCTAGTGATCAACAACAAAACATTAGAACCATAACTGATAACCCAAAAACATTCCTGACACATTTTGTGTCAAATTGAGGAATGGGGACATCGACAAGATAATACTAACGTATATCAGTCAAATCACGACAATCAGGCAAGAATAAAACATTCGTCAATAACACAAGAACAATTAGTTCAAAAATAAAAGGAAGCACATGCACAAGGCCACACAGCCAAATCATATGTGATACACGAGTGCAACAAACACCCAACAGTAATGTCAGCAATTGAGACACGCAACACACAGACTAGCACACGCTAGATCCGACATCTAAGAGCCGTGTCAGCCGTGTCTAGGCGTAACGCATTCTATATAAGTGATCTTCGAGACATATACATTCAGCAAGAAGCAATCACACCCATTGATCTCAGGAATAAGGGTACAACCACGTCTAAATCAAGCCTAACACAAAACATCTAAGTGATCTTCGAGACACATACACTCACCAGGAAGAAATCACACCTATTGATCACAGAAACAAGGGTACAACCACGCCTAAATCAAGCACGACAAGAGCCTGTTCGAACCTTGCGGCCCGCCACAAACAATAAGGTAAAGATCACGGTTCGAAATAGGACCGAACTTACACAAGTGACTGAATCACAGTCAGAGATGGGACCGGAATTCTTAGGTGACATCACCAGGACCGAACTCCTCCAGGTGACGTCACTAAGACCGAACATCTCATTAAGATCACATGAGAAAATAATTTCTCACACGACGAAATAACACTAGTGACAATACGTTCTCACGTGACTAAATACGCACAAGTGACGTCACAGGTGACGGAATAAGCTTGACTAACAAACACCAATTTCACCCCTCATAAATATAGGGGACAACGCAACAAGCTACCGAACCATACAGCAAGGTAAACACTTCCTGCGGAAGTGCAGCAAAGCAACAACAACATAAAAAGTAAGTAACATAAATCCAAAACAAAACAAAATGTTGACTTATTACTAAAGAGGGATGGGTGAAGTGCGCACTTTCGCACAAAACATAACCAGAGTCTTTAGTAATAATCCACTAACACCCACACAACAACACAGACTTATGAAAATGCCAACAGCAACCAGAACAAGCGTGTACAATAGTGGGGGAAGGTAGTGAAGGCGCGGGTAACGTTAGAGTCAGCCCAATGGGGGAGGCAAGTCCAGGCATTAGTTCGGGTCAGCCTACACCGGCGGGGGTACCCATCGCAGCGTCAGCAATGCGTCTAGACATAGACAAGAGTATCTGTCACGGCAATCATGTTCTGGTGAGACGGTTTGTATCCAAATTGGAACAAACAGCACCGGTGCCCATACTAACTCTGCACAAAATGAGAGTAGGCATACATGATCAACAGCCAGCGTCGCAGCCACTAGTAGATGCGGAGCTCAAACGACGATTTGGCCAAGCGATCGACGATTGCGGTGATGATGAGGAAGACAAACTTATCCAAATCAGTCTGTACATTAGTGAGCTAGAGCTCATGCGTTCACGTTTAGGCGATCCGATAACGAATCATTTCTTAAGAAATTACTCAAGACCTCAGAATTTCCAAAGATGCCGAAGGATAGCTTCTTTAGATTGGAAAATTGTGAGGACATCATAGAGCTCACTACACAATGTAGTGATCTATTCTTAGCTACGTCAATGCCATTGTGTCAGTATCCAGCACTAGTGAGAAGACTATTAGATTCCACTGATGAAACGGAGAAAACCAAAGCAGTAGTCAAAAACATAAGAGACTCTGAGACACAAACAACTAGGCACTTCACTGATCCCGAACAGTTCAATAGAATCATTATTGATCGACTCAGATCACACCCAGTAGACTATCTATTGGAGAAGTTTCTCAATGACATGCAGAATAAGAAGATGAACGTCGAAGTGCGCACAGAGCATGTGCACAAGACAATAGCGATGCTACAGGAGGGATACCGCAGCTCATACAAGGAACCCATACACTTCCAAATCCTCAAAGTACAATGGTACCTAGCACTTAAGTACTATGTACTAAAATCAATAGTGGACCTCTTAATCAAAGGAGACAAGCAACCTGATGGAAGTGAAGGACATCTGTTTGACATAGAACATACCAAGTTTTGTACTATGACTGAGACACACATAAGAACGGCGTCTGTGACACTA